TACGTAGTAGTACTAAGTAGTTACGTTAGTTAGTACGTAGTACGTAGTACGTACGTAGTTACGTTTACTTACGTACTACGTACTATACTACTAGTAGTACTACTATATATATATATATATATATATATATATATAGAGACGAGAGAGAGAGAGAGAAGAAATGGGGGCCAGCTTGGAGATCAAACCGATGCAAGTTCCTCGATGACAATGGCCCTGTTCCCATCTTTTTCAAAAAGTTCGTAGGCACGACGAGCATGTTGTTCCCAATTCTCAAGCCCTTCCATCTGATGCACACTTGTTGCAGCGGCACAAAATTCTTCAAAATCCAATCTTCTGTACTGAAGAGCACCAATCTGCACCATTAATAAAAAGACACCCAACATAGCAAATTAAACCCGCGAAAACATTAAAAAGAACAATATAAAAGAAGTAGAATAGGTTTGTCATGAAAAATAGCGCCTTATCATGTTCTGCTTTTTATTTGTGTAAATTGTTTTCGTTCACATTACCCAAGAAAGCAAATTGAAGGGATTAAAACAAAAAAGTAAAAATAAAAGTTGGATAAAGAATTGGAGCTATATTCACCGAGGAAACAAAATCAAGAACACGGGATTCCTTCATTGCATCAGTTGCATTCTTCATCAGGGCCTGAAGGTTAGACATCAGAAATAAGGAAATGAATGCAGAGAGAGGTTAGAAAAAAGAAACACAAAAAAGAACATAAACCAACCGTTTTGAAATTTTGTAGAGAGATGCACCCCAACTTATTTGGGCCCAATAATTCAAACTGTTGTCTTAGATAGAAAAGTTGATCTTCTGTCAAAGTCTTTGCAAGGGCCTGCAGTGTTGTTTCAAAGTTCCCAAGTTTAATGGATCAAACAATAAACTGAAAACCATGGTCGATCCAAGTGAACAGAGGCATCTTGATACACATGCATACATACATGAATGACTCCATACTTAAAACCAAAAACAAGACTGCATACATACATACATTTCATGCTTCTCTTGCACTGCTAAGGGTGGCAAACTAAGCTTACATGGACCGAGAAAATAAAAACTTAATTTATATACTTTGTAGTATATATTTATATATTTCTTATATATTTTATACCTGAGTCCAAGCATTTGGACCCGAACCCGCACCCAACGCACCAGGTCCAAAACATGGATCCGGGTCCAATTGCCACCCCTATGCGCTTGTTTTAGACCCAACCCACCAGGTCCAAAACATGGACCCGGGTCCCAAACTAATTGCCACCCCTATGCACTTGTTTTAGATTGAGAAACAATCTAGTGTTCAGCATGCACCAAATTGAAATATTGGATGCCAACTTTGGCTCATGATCAGATAGCATAGGAAAGGGACGATACACATAGCTTGATTGAGGCAATAAAATGCACATACCCCCAAAGCTGATCTCCGAAGAGATGAAGAGCATATATAAGCTCTTACAAGCCTAAAAACAAGCATATCCAAAGGAATCTTCACATCTTGGTAATTTCTTATCCATGGATGACCTGAAAACACAAACCAGGCCATCAGCTGAAAATCTTCATCCCTTTTCTTTATTTCTTTCAGTCAGGTGATGGATTGTGGCTAATGGGTCCCACAAGAAATATGAAATCACTATCAAGTCTATAAGGAAGAAGTTAATGGATGTGAGACGAAGAAGTTAATGGATGTGAGAGGAAGAATCATTCCTATAAGAGCCCTTCCTTTTATCAATAGAATCTTGAGAAGATTAGATGGCCATGGCAATACAAAACCTCCAACAGTCGTGACAATACAATATGGGCATGTATTCCATAGTCCAGTAGAGCATTGGCTACCATAATCCAAAGGGCCATCATCACCCGTTTCCAATGTTGGATGGCAGAGATTAACTCTATTTGGATGAATGTCTCGCTGGACCTTACTACAATTGATCTCCACCAAGCCTAGTTGATAATAGAGAACAGATGGAAGATGCCCCTTCAGAGAACCAAATACCACATCTCATAGGAAATAGGATCATGGTATGCACTCCCATATCTTCTAAAGGATGGGAAGGGAATGGAAAGAAAAACTTACTGAGGGCCTGAGCAGCAGTCAATCTCTTACGCAAATCCTTGTTCAACAAACGCTTGACAAAATCTCTAGCCTCAGCTGACAAGGAAGGCCACGGCGCCTCTTCAAAACTTGGGTCAGCCTTTAGAACAGCACGGAAAATACCTGATTCGGTTCGAGCCCAAAAGGGACGGCTCCCACAAAGAAGAATATACGCAATCACCCCAATGCTCCACATGTCTGCTTCAGTATTATAAGATCTATGTAGAACTTCAGGTGCCACATAATATGCACTCCCCACAATGTCATTAAGCCTCTCATCTGCACAAAATAGCCCTAGATCAGATATATGCCCACAATTATGTAGCAGGCTAAGAGCAGGAAAGTGTATTGTGATGGATGTGATCATAAAAAAAATATACAAACAGGTATAGTTCTCAACAAATCAATAGATGGACAGTTACAGAGAGAGTGTGGAATCTATGAGAACACGACAGTGCCCAGTAAATCTCCCATGTCCATTATCGTCCATCGAATGATTTTCCTTTTCTTATTTTTTTGATAGATAATAGACTGTCCATCTAGTGATGTGACACCTATGGTCATAGAATTTCAATGACAATATGGAACAGTGTGCCCTTTCATTCAGAGTATAAATATTGGAAAGTAAGCTATAATCCAGTAGACAAAGGAAATCCACAATCCATTGAGATCACAACAGTTTGATGAAATGATGAACAGTGGGTCGGGGGGGGGGGGGGCCAGAGGGAGGGCGGGGGAGGGGTGGTGGAGGGGGGACAGAGAGAGAGAGATCCACAAGAACAAGAAATGACCCCAATTGTGAATACAGCTCTGTCACCATCATTGTCCATCATTTCATCGGATGGTCATGATTACAGTGGATTGTGGTTAATCTAGAACCAGAGGACTATAGTACGCTTTTCTTTAAATGGTTTTGCAAGGATCAACCTGGCTTTACGAAGTCTGACAAACCAAAGTCTATGGCCTTCAGTGGCGAGTTCTCGTCCTTCGAGCTAAACAGGAAATTCTGAAGAAGAAAATGAATTATTGAGAAACATTCAAGAAATTTAAAAATACAACTTCAGGAATTATAGAACAGAAATCTAAATCTATATGCTATTATTGTAACCAGGGTTTGATAGAATTCATGCCGAAAATGGAACTAATGGGATGAAATCGACGATAATCAACAAATAATCGGCACTACTAATTAGTAGCAATGATTGTTGATATCTTTTGTTTTTACAAAGGTAACCAATGATTTTTTTTTCTGGGTCAATCAGCTTAGGGATATGAAGCCCAAAGCTCAACTCATGGTTGAAAAAGAGTCACATATAGTCACCTCATCTTTGCTGGGAGTGACTATTTATCACCAATATACTAGTTGAGTAACAATCTATTGAAGGTTTGAGGAAATACTCTATACCCCTTATTCAAACGAGGAGTACTTGCAAGTAAATATTTCAAACTCAAATTAACCATAGCTTTTTTTTTCCCTAAATTAGACCAGTATTTTGCTTTCATATGCTATCAAAATTTAACAGATATATATGACCAAGTAATCTCCATCTTTAAGGACGACCATTGCAGTTTCATTCCAATTTTTGTAACAATGATTTCAAGGGAGCTATAAACTTTGCACTCTAGAAAAACTTCCCTAGTCAAACTTTAAATAATACGGAAATTCACTTGAAAATCTTATTTTATTAACAAAATTTAAACACAGTACTGTGTATTTTATATCATATGCTCAAATCCCACATTGAGAGTATATAGTTTGTTTTAATTTTATTTTCACCATTATAAAAAAAAAAAAATTGTTTTCTTTCCATACATCGGATCAAGCTCAAATTTGGGGAGTTAATACTTCTCACCATCTCACATTTGTAAAAAGTACCAAAAGATTATTTTTTAAAAATAAAATAAAATAACCAAAATACCCTACATTTTTGAAATTTGTAGGGGTATTTGGGTCATTTTTATTTGAATTAGTAATTATTTTTAAGCGTTTTTACAAGTGCATTATGGTGAGAAGTATGGATGCTCAAATTTTGAGCTTAATCAGACATACAAAAAAAATAATAAAATTTAAATATAATATCCACTATAAAAAGTTGGATTAAATGTAAAATATAAAAAATATGACTATTTTTAAATTTAAAAAATAAAAATGACTTTTTCTGTTAATTTCCCTAAATAATAATGTCACTTAAGGTCCATCAAGAAGCTTCCAATGCAGAAGTACCCTATATTTCCGCATTCAACAAAGGAACACTGACCCATAAAATGTAAGAAATACTACTTCACAGTTCACACCATAGTTCAAATTATTGTTTAGAACATAGTAAGTCCCTAATTTTTGTTCTCCTATAATGATTTGTTGACCAAGTGTCAAGATAAAAAGAAAATTTTCACTTGGAAGTGCAGAGAGCTTAGTCAACTAAGCTTTGGCTGTTCCTCAGAACACCTGACAAGTTAATAGAATTGCACCATATCATATAAATCAGATTAACTTACAATCATTACCTAATAAGGGAAAAAGAAGTATATCACTGTGAATTCCAAGAAACAAAAATCATGTGACCTTATCTGAGGGAGTATTACCTCTGGTTTGAGATCCCGATGAACCACACCTTGGAGATGACAGAACGCAACCACACTAAGGATCTGGACCATGACAGCCTTTGCATCATCCTCTGAGTATTTTCCACCCCTAAAAATAAGATTACTTCAACTAGTTAAATCTGAACATTCCCAAAATAAAAAAACAAGTTAAATTAAGCTACACCATAGAACTTTGTGCAAAAAATAAATAAAAAATGTTCATAGACAATTGAAGGATGAACAAATAAATGGTCCTTACCTCGCCAATATTCGATCTAAAAGCTCCCCTCCTTTGCACAACCTAAAGAAGATGGTCAGAGACTATAAATATGGGCTTTAAGTAAACCATACACCATAAATGAGAAGAACCATGATAATCCCACAATTAACCATGATAAAATGGAGCAGTAGGGTCATCTTAACTCACTCCATCACTATGTAAACATTGTCATGGTCTTCATAGACATCATAAAATTGCGCCAGATTCTTATGCCCTGAAAGGGCCCTCAAAATTTTCACTTCTCTTCTTACATCCTCAATGGCTATTGCTGTCGTCATCTGCCACAAAAGTAAAGCAAAATTAGTAAACTACAACTACATAAGATCTCTTCTTTTATATGATAACTTAAGATTCCAAATGTCAATTCAACGAATATGAGCAGATATACCAAAGCACATGACCCAACTGTATATCATTTTACAAAAACAAGGGAGCTATCATCTGTTCTCTTTTGATATGGGAGCCATCATTTGAGGAGAAGCTAACTGCAACAGTACAATGAGTCACACAAATTGCAGAATAAAGGACTCAGAAATAATATTGAAACCTAAGCTAGGTATTACAAATATAATGAAGCCAGGTACTATGCATAAATATAACTCACGCTCATAAGATAAAACTATTCCCTTGCATGCAATTGTGACCACACACTAATACCTATACACACATTCATATAGAAAAAGAACCTAGGAAATGAAATTGCCACAGTTCTGGCTAATTCTTCAAAAAGATATTCTTCCCAACCTAATGAACTTTCAGAGGTTTCATTCTTCCTATCATATGTTGCCATAAGCACTAGTATCAGGTCTTCTCTATGACTTGTCTAAATCTGATTATTTCGTAATGTAACTTTAGTACTTGGTCTTCCCTATGACTTGTCCTACATCTGATTATCTCGTAATGTAACTATCTATTTCTCCTATCTATGACTTGTCCTACATCTGATTATCTCCTAATGTAACTTCCTATTTCCCTCTTTTTTGGGGGTAGTGTACCTATCCCTCATTTTATATTTTTTTCTTTGTATACGAACTTATCAATATTTTCTCGGCATGATATTCATACAAGCAGTATCATAATTTTCTCATCATGTTGAATTTCCAAATGACTATTATACCATACCAGGGAAGAGAACACAATCATGAAATGTAATCCCTGTACACTAAACATGTCACATGGATGTCCATGCACACTAAGATGGAGATAAAAAAGAAATAACATAGAAGTTGCCACCACCATCACAGCAAAACCCAACCCCACAAAACAAACAGAAACATGGAAAAAAAAGGTCCACCATCCATGAAAATAGACAAACTTGCACTCTAAAAATATAATAAACAGATCTACTACAAATGTTCTGGATTGTATTTACTTACTTTAGCTTTCTTAGGATATTTTGTTAGACTTTATATTCCCATTAAAATATGATATTACACTATAATTGATGGTGCTAAAGCTAACAATGTCATCCTATAAAATGTAAGCACGCTGCATTCAGACAAACTTTACCAAAAGACCATTTTAAGATAACATAAGAACCATAAAAAAATGATATAGAAGCGCAAAAATGAATATAAGTGCCTTTATGGCCTTTAACACTAAGACATAGATGATGGAAACTATGAGGCATGTTGGATTGCAAATTGCTGTTGCCCCATCTAAAAATGAATAATTCCACCACTACATAAACATTAGAGTTATCTTTCCATGTCATGAATGAGTATGCTAGCATGCATGTCACCATCATACAATCCAACATGTCATAAATCTTACACAACAGAAGCTGATTAATCACTGTTGTCCTAAGCATAGAGACAATGAGCTTTAGAAAAGAATAACAAATGATCCAAACACACTTGTAATAATGTTTCTGAAAAGTGTCTGACATGGGTATGACAACCTAACGGAAAACTCCAGATAACATAGCAACTAACCAGATAGCATAAATACATCCAAGGGAAATATTACAGTCTTTGTTAATTTGTGTGAAATAATCAAAAAAATCATTGCTCTCTTCGTACAAGTATAATTTCACACAATATCAATAACATTATACCCTTGATTCCTATTCATCCTCATATAAATTACCCATCGGAATCACTTCTATACTACTTAATCACTGCCATATTACTTGTTTAAATGAGCTTCATTACTACATTATTCTGTTACAAATATTCCAATCTTTTACATTTGAAGTACTTTCTCTTCTTTTAAAAGTCCACATAGTATAAAAGGACTCATAAATATCAAGTTGCACTAAGTCGAGGTAGCACTGATGCGTACAAAGCATTAAGAGAGAAAGTAGCAGCCATTCCCAATCTTTTTTACATATGAAGTTTATTTCCAAGTAATTTCCCCTTTTTGGCACTAACCAATTAAACAAGCATCGTTCTTTTTTATTTGTGATTCAAAACGCAAACAAAAGAAAAGAAAATTTGCCACTTCCAAATAACATAACTGCCAACAATGAGTACTGCAACTACAAAGAATGATAGAGAATGAAAGAAGAAAAGATTGGCTACTTTATTGATATAAATTATACAGACAGTCACAGACCTTTGCTTTGGGGACGATCTTAACAGCCACCTCCCTACCCTTCAGCTCCCCTTTCTTCACATTCGCCAAACAAGTATAGCCAAAATGCCCCCTCCCAATTTCCTCCCCAGTCTCATACTTTGTTGTAAAATGTTTTGAGAACCCAAAGTTTTTATCCAACCCCAGTTCACCTTCATTACCCTCTGGTATTGCAGCTTCGTTGGGCTTCACAGAACCATGCCTTCGAGCAAGAAGGGCCTTAATGTGTTTAGCAGGTGAAGGTGGGGGAAAAGGGCGCTTAAAAAAGCGTAAAGGCGTGGAATTTGCAGTGGAAATTGCAGGTGAATTCTTGAAGGCGCTAGGTAAGGGGCTGGGGCTATAGAAAGGGAAAGAAGGGGGTTTACTGGTCTCAGTGTTTGATAAAGGGCCTCCATTAGAGCTAGTTTGAGCCGGTTCATCATGGGTTGCAGGTGTCGGTGAGGGCTTTCCATGACAAATTCCCATGGCGTGGCGAGAGAGAGAGAGAGAGAGAGAGAGAGAGGAGAGAGAGAGCAGAAAATGACCAAAAAGTTTACCGAGATTTAGAAAAGGAGCACAAGGAGGTAGAGAACCTGGACAATGAAACTATAATCAAGGAAAAAAGGTGGAGAGAAAGACAGAGGAATCCTATTAAATATTTAGAGGGGCAAGAGAAAAATTAACTCATTCAGAGCAAATTTTCAGTAGTACACAAGCCCCGAAGGGAAACAAAAGGAAGAGAAGATGTAAACCCCATGTCAAGAAAATTTCCAAAGAAAGAATTAAAGATCAAACAAGAACATAAACCAGATCCAATAGGACTTAACATCTATAATTAACCCAAAATAGAAGGTGACTAAAGAAAAATAAGGAGATAAATGGGGTTATGAAAGTATAGATTACAAGTAAACAGCTGAAAATAAGACCAGAATAACCAGAAACAGCTCCAATCACTACAAATCAATGGATGATCAAAACAAAGTCAAGACAACCAATAAATTGGGTCCAAATGGGAGAAAGATCTTCAACCTCTAGGGCCTAAAATTTGGGAAAATCAGGTTTATGAAATCGACACTCCAGAAAGCAACAATCGACACCCCAAAAGAATACATACAATAGAATGTCAGATTCTTCTAACAATCTGCAATTATAAGCACATTTTTACGATTAAGAAAGAATAAAAACCACTAGAAAACCAAATCAAAGGTACCATACTCCAAATGCACCTGAAACTGGAAAACAAAAACCTAGAAGAAAAACATTATTTCCAAGCTAAAGTTCAATACCCACAAAAGGAAAAAAAAGGACCTATTTTCTAAAAAATTGCGCACATTTAGCAGAAAGAGAAGCAATGTATTGACCCGAGAGAAAGGGAAGGGAAATAATATTGAATCCTAGAAAAATCCAAGTCTTGTCTCCAAGAAAATAACAAAATAAAAATTCCAACAAAGAAGTACCTCCCCTGCCAGAGAAAAAGCAAACCCTAAATCATAAGAACCTGCAAAATTCCACCATGAGATGCACAATCAGCAAAACCCACAAAAAACAAACTCCCCCCAAAACACCCAAAACCTAAAAAGTTCACAGGATTTGCCAAAATTCCACCATGGGCAAAATTCCACCATGGGCAATAATGCAAAGGAAAACCCTAGGTTAAAAAGATAAAAAGAAAAAAAACAAAACTCCTAGAAAAACCCAAAAAGTAGCTTACCCCATCAGAGAAAAGAAGCCCCAAATCATGAGGACCTGAAAAAGTCCACCACTGAGATAGGGCAAGAGATGATTCCAAGTAGAGAGTGCAAGCAACCCCTTTTACTTTTTGGGGCTTGTTAATGGAGCTTGAAGCCCTAATAATGGTGATGGGTGGATCCATGGACACACAAAAACCAGGCTGTCCTTAAAAATTGTATATTGTATAATGTTTGTGTAATAATAATAAGGATTGGTTGAAAGTTGATATGAGACTCCTAATTCATGTGTGCAATCTGGATTTTTGTTATTTGAGTCTTCATTCCCCCAAAAAGCAGATTTGTGGGTGCTTTCCCTAGGGTTTGACCTCCATGTGGGCCCACCCCATTTTTGGTTGTGGAAAATTCTTGGAATAAATGGAAGCCTAATTCTTCCAAATTAGGGCATGTCCCCTTGCTTGTGGGGACCATAATTTGGGTCCAAAATGTATTGCACTTTGGGGTGAAAACCTAATTTTATTTTGGGTTCAAATGAATTTTATTGTAGGGCATGTGCCCTGCTATATGGAAAACCTAACAATTTGGCCCAAGGAGAATGTGGCATACTACCCTAATTTTGACCCATCTTTGAAGTGGTTACAGAATTATTAGGTAAAATATAAATGCCACTAAACTCGGGCTCGGACTCCGCTCCTCCCCTTGTCGAGTTACTTAGGCAGTGAGTCAGAGTAAACTAGCAATGTTAGACAACTCGACCCGGGAACAGAATCCAGATATGGGATAGGCCCGGGTAACTCTGAACCGTTTTGGGTAACCAACCCTATCCAAGCAGGTCTTAGTTAAAATACTAAAAAAAAAATCTCAAAACATCTCAAAAAATAAAAAAATATGTTTAAAGTATAATCAAACAAAATACATTCAAATGATATTAAAAAAAAAAAGAAGTGAAAAAATAGATTTTGAATAATAAAATTGTGCCTAAGCGTATTTTAGAAAAATGTAAAAAAAAGTATTTATGACCAAAATATTCCCCAATTTGTTTCTAAACAATAGAAAATAAAAATAAAAAACTATTAGAAATAAATTTATTATTTTTTAAAAAATTATAATATTTTTTTATTTTTATTTTAAAATTTCACCTTTTGACCACCCTAACCAGCTAAAAAGCGGCACGACAAGTGGCCAGTTTATGGTAACCCTGCTTGATTCAAGTTGACCCAGCCGGTTTTGCAAATATTGCTCATGTGAATCCTGTACAAGTCCATAATGAGTTGGGATAAAATAGAAAAAAAGAAAACCCTTAAAATAAAGAAAACATACATAATTAATTGAAAAGTAATGTAATCATTAGAATTTAGACTTAGGGTTTGATTTTTATCATCTATTACGTACAAATTATAATTATGAAGAGTGGGTTAAAAATTTGCCCAAATCTTTGATCTATTGATATGGGAAATGTAGTGATTTCTTCTCAAATCTAAGGCTTATCTAATGAAAATCCAGCTTAGGTTAAAATTTTGGTTAAAAATATAGGGCATGTGGGCTCTGATATTCAAGAAAAATAAAAAAAAAGGGGACGAGTATTGTAGCTACTCGCCTTAATGCTATAGCACTCAGGCGAGTCTACCCCAATTCTACAGTACTTAGGGACTTAGGCGAGTCTACCCTAGTTCTACAGTACTTAGGCAAGTCTATACATATGTGCAATCGCCCCAATATTAGCAAGGAAACTTGCCTTGGCACCCTGCCTCGCCCTAGTCCTCCAACATTAATTCTAAGTTTGTAAGCAATTTATAGTTGAATGTATACCGTAAAGCTCCTTAAAGCCTAATCATCTCTAGTTTTTAAAGGATCTAGTGCTTATAATGCATTTTAAATCACCAAATTTAGATTTTCTATCGGTATATGAATTTCAAGTTCCGTAATGCAACTCTGATGATCTTCGAAATTTAATATGAAGGATCTAGAGACATTTTTCTAAAAACTCAAAATTCATTTTTATGTATTCATGATCGTGGTGGTTGAGATGATAAACTAGTAAAATTTTAGAACTATCCGCTCTCAAGGTAGATTCGTAATAGTTTCATCCCTGGATGCACCTAAACCCTACCCTAAGCTCTACCATTCATAAAGGAAGGTGACTTATTGGAACCCTAGTTTTTAGATCGCAAACACAAACACACCCACACGTATACATATATGGAAAAAGTTTATATAAGAATGCTACCTTATAATGTAGAACTGCGGATGCCCATCAAAAATCGATCGGAAAAGGTAGTTTTAATGATGAAAAACCCTTTGATTGATCATCCCAACATCGAGATGTATGACTATAAAAAATAAAAAGATTTTGAGTCCAAAAAATAATGCAGTTTACAACATATTATCTACACCATCAATTTTCAAGATTTTCATATGTTTATAGATCTACTTGATTTTAACTATTTTTTAAATTTAAAAATTTATAATTATATATAAAAATAGATTTTGAGATGATCCTAAGAACATTTCACGTCAAAATTATATACCACGTTAAAATTTGAAGGTGCACTTTACCTCTACACCTACGGATGCATATATTGTGTGCATGTTGAAATTTAGGATTTTGCATGTCGTATGGGTCCATGAATGCCCCATAATTGGTATTGCAGGCTTTAACAAAACAACTAAACTTGGTACCCTTTTATAAATGAAAACCTAATTCTTGAAGGAGACAGAACCTATGTGCCTGTAAGGCATAATTTTCTTTAGTGGAGACAAATTTTTTTTTTTTTTTGAAAGTTGGTTGTACTGTGGAATTAGATGAGATTAAGAGAGGTCTGAGTAGGAAAAGGTCATTTTTAAGCATGTAAATAGAGAAATAAACACGCAGTGCTCAGATACGTCAGTGCAAAATCAATGATGCAGAACTGTGGACCCTCAAGCAAGGGGTTATTAAAATATACTCTAATAAAATCTAGCTTAGGTTGAATCTAAGGCTTATCTAATGAAAATCTAGCTTAAGCTGAAATTTTGATTAAAAATACGCTTCGATATCTAAGAAAAATAAAAAAAAGGGGCGGAAACAATACTTGGGTGAGCATTGTAGCAGCTTGCTTGAGTACTATAGGACTTGGGCAAGTCTACCCTAGTTTTATAGTACTTGGGCAAGTCCCTATAGTACTCGTAAAAATACTGTACATGTGCAATAACCCCCAATATTGGCAAAGAAACTTGCCAACTCGGCCAAGTCTACAAACATTGGTTCTAAGTTCACCAGTAGTTTATAGTTTAATGTATACCTTAAAGCTCCTTAAAGCCGATTCATCTCTAGTTTTCAAGGGATTTCGTGCTTAAAATACATTTCAAATCACCAAAAATCGAATTTTTTTATCAGGTATATGAATTTCAAGCTCCATAATGCAACTTTGATGATCTTTGAAGACAAATATAAAGGGTCTACAGACGTACATTTTTTAAAGTTTAAAATTTATTTTTCTATATTCATGATCGTGGTGGTTGAGATGACAACCTAGTAAAATTTTAGAACTATTCATTCCAAGGTAGATTTTGAAAAGGTAGACTCGGTATAATAGTTTAATCTCTGGATGCACCTAAACCCTGCCCTAAGCTCTAATATTAGTAAAAAACGGTGCCATATTGGAACCCTAATTTTGTATTGCAAACACACAAACACGCATACACACATGCATACATATATTGAGTGCATGCGGAAATTTAGGATTTTGAAGGGTGTGAGCACCTTCTCTATGCAGGGGGAACTTTTAAGGTAGGCATCCTATGGGTCCATGAGCCCCATAATTGGTTTTGCAGGCTTTTACAAAACAAGTTAACTTGGTACCTTTTAATAAATGAAAACCTAATTCTTGAAAGTTGGTTGTAATGTTGAATTAGATGAGATTGAGAGAGATCTGAGTAGGAAAAGGTCATTTTTCAGTATGTTAATGGAGAAAAAGAAACAATAATACAGTTCACATACATCGGTGCGGTGGGGAAATCAATGAAGTAGAACTGTGGGCTCTCAAGCAAGCGCTCTCCTCTAAACATAGTCAACTAGTAGTAGAAGGAGATTCAACAAATGTTATCAACTGGTTTACGCATCTTGAAACCATTCCTTAGCTTTGGGCATCAATTACATACTAAATAATTTTCCATTTAGTTGGGAGAGAAGTGTTAAAACCAATGGTTTAAAAACCGGATCGGTGACCCGGATCGGGCTTTTCAAAAACCGATCCGGATCGGCGAATAGGCAATCCGGATCGGCGAATCGGCGGTCCGGATCGGAATCGGGTGAATCGGTCAAAATAAAGCTTCAAAAAAATCCGAAAAAATTATTAAAATTCATTATAACTATTGTTTTTTAGGAATTCAATAAAAAATGAGGGTACTCCATTAAAAATTTTCATGTTTTTGGATGAATATGCGAATATTGATATGTTCTTTCCCTGCATGAACCGCCATTCAACATTTAATTTACATCACACAAAAGGATAAACATAGAATTATCATGGAATAAGTATATCAACATACATGGACTACAATAAAGCATAAAATTAATAACATACGATCTAAAAATAAAATGATAGACGACGTTGTTGTTCTTCTGTAGATCTTGACATGATTCAACTGTTTTAAGATGTAAAAAGTTTAAATTAACCTGACAGTTCAAAAAGAAAAATAATCACCATATGTAGTGATAATATGTTGCGGTAGTTCATGTAGTCATATTCGTTGTTATTTGTTATTGCAAAATACCTTTTTTGACAATAATATTTCGTACATATCAATTACAAACATGTAG